TCGTTATTAATATTCATTACAAATAATGTTATAACCCTATGTCGTTAACAGTAACTTTGTAAATGTATTGGTGAATAACCTTTAAAAGCGGTACTTATCCTGATGACTGCCACCAATTACCCATCATAATCCCACAAATGAAAATGTAGAAAACATCTAGAATATGCTAATGAGAAAGTTGATTGTATACGTCATCATTGGGTAATAAATATCTGGCGAATGTTTTTAAAAGTAAAATATGCCTATTTTTTACATGAATGTTCAGATCAAACTCTGATGCTCGACCTCAGAGCTAAAAAAAACACACACCTTCATAAAGGAATCAAACTAAAAAACTAATTATATATGTTAAAATATTTAACACCATGTACCACTCGTTAACACTTCAGATTTGAAAATTGAGACGAACAGTATTTCTCCATAAATTTTAACGTAACTTCAAATATGAATACTCTTATCATGTTTGATTGCTAAATTTTATGAACACCCTACTATTGGTTTTAAGTGAGACATAAAAGTACCAAAAACTGAAATTAACGACAAAACCAGCGAGATGTTAAATAAATAAACTAACTTTTAAGATTAATGAAGTTCAATTATGTCTAGTGTAGGGTTAACAGTTACTATTTATACATAACCGAATGTCAATTTCCATATTCTGAAAAACTGTTTTCTCTTACCTTTCTTAATTACAAAGTCTTACTGCTTTAAGCAATGATGGCTAGAAGTGGAATCCAAGACGCGAGTTTCGTCCTATTTGGGACTTGTCAGGTAGATGTACCTGCTTTTAGTGTTTGTAACTTAGGGGCAATATTTAGTCAATTCTCACAGGATGCATATATTACCAAAAAAGACTGATCGATTGCACATCTACACAACGATGAGAAGATCCAAGCAACCAATATATATTAAATCTTGCTATTTATTGTGTGCATACGAAAATATTTCGAGTGACACGGTTCAAGGCAGGTCGTAGTTGCACTCAGTCTATATGTGACTCGGGATCTTCACTTTAGCCTTTATCGACATTATTTGTTTCATTTGAACTCTGAACGCGTTAAGCTCTTCAATTTAGATGATATTATTTCCCATTCCAACTCACTAATTTTCCTCTCTTAGCGCTGTGTAAGATGCAGCCACTAGGACTAATTGAAATTTATGCTAGATCCTACATTGACTGATCTAATGTCCCTGTATATCACGTGACAATGATTTTTTAAGTAATCTGTTGTATTTGACTAATTGAAACCCAAAAACAATAAAGGTGTAGTCAGAGAAAACATAGCCAGTAAGTAAACGGAACTACTCAGTATTTGCCGGTTGATATAGCAAAAAGTAAAAATTCGAAGCATGCGATTTTAAAAGTAAATCACAACCAAACAATTTAATCAGAAATAATGTTAAATATGCACTTTTAGGTTTAAAATCAAGTTCTTGTAGTATTACTTCCTTATAAGAAGTTTCAAGATCGATATGGCACGACTGGCGAAAACATGTTACAAAATCTTTCAGTTGGTAGATATATATTAATTTAATAGTTATGGTTTTCATTTGATAATCTGATTCATTTCTAATTATTGCATTACGCATAAAACTGATTTAAGTCAGTAATGTGTGTAGAGCCCCAGTTGAATATTCATTAGGTAAAATACATCCTCCAAATAGTGTACTATTCGTGGATGGAATACAGCTTACCAGCCTCGGTGACAAGTAAGTTCCGCTTGATTACCACGACACAAAACTTAAATTAAAACTTGCTAAGGTGAGTATATTGCTTCATGGAGTAAAACAACATGAATTCCTAGTTTTGATCACTAATCGTAAGTGCCTAATTAACAAACTATGCGACCTCATTTAAACAAACTTGGTGAGTCTTATTGCTTAGACGGTAAAATGACTTACTAAACAAATTAATCTCTACGCATAAGACAATCTTTGACTACATAATTGGTGGAAACTAATTTACCTTGAAGGTGGCCACTCACATATGGTAATGAATTGCTGTTATACCATGTTAACAAAGAACTTACGTCAAAACAATGGATTCCAACCCAATGGTTTAAAAATGTGTTCAACTTTGAACTCAAGGACGACCCTTGCGAGGAATTCAAACTAGAACAAAAAAACTGCAGAATACTTTTTAGTGGCTATCTACATGACATCAGATATTGGCAACAACCATATTCAAAATAATGGATTTTATTAGCCATTAAACTGAATACAGTATAATTGAAATTAAAATACCCTGACTTTCAGCAGGAGCATTAGTTCCGTTTCCAAAAAATTTCTCAAAAGTTATATTTTGAACTAAGACAAGTAAAATGATAGAAACTTTGAGTTATTTTTAAAGGTTTTTTATCAAATGTTGACCGGAAAACAACTGCTGGCTGTGATTATCATCACTCACAACAGTGAATCACTGACCGATTTCACAGTTTGAGACTATGAAGGTTGTAGTACTAGATCAACTGAATTTTTCAGAATTCAGATAATCATCTATGTTCCACAAGTTTACTCTACCAAATAAAATTTTAAGCGATGATATAGGTCCACACTATTGGCAAACAATATTTGTTGACAAGTTTTATCCAAATTAAATTTAATTTGGATAAAACTTGTCAACAAATATTGTTTGCCAGTAGTTAATTCATGAAGTAGTCAATTAAATTCATTCGCACAATCTACCGTTTCTTTGCCACAAAGAGCAGTATTCTTCCATAACAAAGTTTATAGACTCAGCGAATACCATCAACTAATAGAGAGATATAGTGGAAATGATTGGCTATCTTTAACGAACAATTATCGTTAACTTTTAAGAGGGCTACAACGTCCAATATCGATCTTAGCTAGCAGAGTACTAACTACAGAATTAACAAAGGTAAGTTTGATAAAAAACAAAGACGCACCAGAACTCCATATCTATTATACGGCTAACAGCCTATTCGAATGTAAGGCCGAAACTGTTTAATGAGACATGGAGAAAACAGAAGTTGGTTCGATTCGATTACTGTAAAATTGATTTTTTGTAGTTTACATGAGAGAAAGCTTGACGTCTTAATTTTCTGGCAAATAACAGATACAAAGAGACTGAATTAGATCATTTGTAGTAAGAGTATCGCACAACAAAACGATTATACTTATATTACCATTTATTGGTATATAGTTGAGATAATGTGAAGAGTAATTTAGTGGGAAATAGGATGATTCCTCAGCTTAGTTTGCATAAGTAGAATCTGGCAGTTATTCTAAACTTATAATGAACATTTGCAAAGCTTCAAATATTCTGATCGTTTGAAAAAATCTGTCTTTATGAGGACACCTAGAACTATTCTCTTAAGAAAATAAAAAATCACAACTTTCATACATTGTATGTATTTTTTTTGTTGACAATAAAACATAACATTTAATGCCCGTTTATATTCGAATAATAAAACGGTGTGGTTGATGAAGAAACTGTAGCAAGTTTGATGTTATTAAGTAACTTTAAGATATATGAATTAGCTTAGTTATTGCTAATTTCAACATTCTCAGATAAGCATGGAACTCAGTTAAAGTTTGTAAGCAATGATTTATGTGGCTATTGTAATCAATTTTAATTAATTTGAAAGAAAAGGAGTAGAAGATTCGAATGGAAGATTTTATTGTATAGAATCTTAACATCAACAAAGAATAAAACTCACTTGAGGTGAGTCAGAACAACATCATGACAGTGAAACTTGTGTTGACTTATTTTTGTGGTTTGAAGATCATCGTCTCACAAAATTAGTTTATGGACTGTCGTATGTGATACATGGAAATGAATTTAAGTTACTTATTTTTACGTTCTTTTTCTTAGTGACAGAAAATTGAGTTTACAAGCACTCATATTGCCTTAGGATACTTTCAACAATTAACAAATTTAATGAAACAAAAAACAGGATCGAATTTTGTTTTTATTGATCTCAGTATTACATTGACAGAAGTGGATTTATACGAGTGCATTTAAAAATAAAGTCCTCAAATAAAGAGTACTACGAGTCCATAATTATAATATTAACTCATCGAGCAGAACACTTGACTCCACTAATGACTTGTACATGGCGGCTATTACTTATCTAAATATGCGGAAATTACCCAGACAGTTGTCTTCAGGGTAGACGTGAAAAGGTGATATTTACAAAATAGTAAATTTTCAAACTCATTTGCCAGCTGGAAAATTATAAAGACCGAAAATAGCAAAAGGCAGTATGAAGAAAACAATTGGGATAGCTTAAGATCCTAAAATTATTTATAGACCGATTTTAGGACCGTTAACCCTGAACTATTAAGTAAATGAATAGAAAGAATCATTATATAACTTACTTTATCTTCCATATAGTTTTATCTTCGAAGAGCAGATAGAATCAAATACTTGTAAGAGAAGTATTGTGTAATCACTATAAAATAGGAACGACAGTATCATCGACAGTTTACTGTTTACTTGACCTAGCTAAATACCATCTGATAATATCTGATACTAGACTATAACGCTTCCTTCTTCGTTTCAAGTGTGCTCGAAGAACACTACTTATCAAAGCTATGCAGTCACACCAGTTGTATTCAAAAGTCTTCACAACGTGTGGGACTGACATAATAGGAAATTAAAGACATATGTAGTCAGTACGTATTTCGATGATAGCGGATATTAAGAATTTGCATCATTACGGAAGAGTATTGAACTCAATGAATGATTAGAAGTTCGGCATTCGGTAGGAACCATTATTGGAGTAAAGGTTGGTACTGTAAATAATAGACTAATTTGAACAAAAGCGTACTTCACGCTTACTGTTCCAAAGCACGGAACGAAATAAAAGGGAAATCGGCTATATTAACTAACAGAGTCAATATTAGCAGCAAAATCTTGATAATATAATTAAGAGCAAACTAGTTGAACTGTAACGGCTAGAATATTGAGTGAAAGGAATTCCAATACATCACATACCTCAGCACAAAATATTTTTTAACAAAAAAGAACAAGTTTTAAAGCGAATTATGTTGTTATTTTAGCCAGAGGTTGAAAATGATGAATTCTAATTAACAACACAGGATGATGCGGTACAATAATACAAACACTGAAAAAATCAACTCATTTTTAAATAGAAAGGAAATTATAGAGGTTTGTTTGTATCCTCTTTGCTTTTTTTTCATTTTCCCAGCAAAGTTAATATGAGCAGAACGCTTTGTTTAAAAAATTAATTACAATAACATTTAGCAAAATATGTTCGAATGTAAATATGTTGGAAAAAAACTGAACTAATCTTACAGGACACAAATTTTACTCGTAAAAGTGCTAATAAAATGAAGATGGATTGGGATAACCATAAGATTGGGTATGAAGATTCAAATTATTCGGCTGATGCGGTCCAAATGATTGATAATTGTAATTGTCATAAGATGAACTCCCACCGGTTATTCTTTGAGATCTACCACGGACTCCCGGATTGAATATGAGGGGGTTAGCTTGAGAATATTTATACGCTTCAGCTACAGCACCGACTGGATGAACCTCCGTAGACATAAGATCTACAGGTTGTTGAGATTGCTGGTCAACGTTTTGACGTGCATAACTCTTAGGGTCAAGATATTGATATGAATCGCCTGAGGGAGCTTTACAACCTCGTTTTTTTCTTTTTCTCCTAGGCCAACCTGGATAAGCACTTTCTTCTGTGAACTCTTCATTTGAATCAAGAACTGGTTCATTTACTTCAAATTCGGAGTGATAAGCGCCTCTTTGAACTCCATGTTCTATGAAACCAGGACCCTTACGTGATTCGTCACTGGGATATTCACGCTGCTGGATCATGCTAGGTCTGGTATGCTGTCCATAAGGGACATGCTGACTAAAGTCATTGGAAATTAGCGGTCGACTTGGCCGAAAACTATTATCTTCATAGCTCCAACTGGTAGGCTGTTTCATGCAACTGGGTGAATATGCAGCAATCGCTAAAGAAGAATGAGGCTTTATATTGTTGCGAAAAGAGTTCTTAGATTGCATATTTTGTGTATCCATGGCGCTAAGCGACTTTTGCGTTGCAGTTTGAGGCACAGAGTTTGAAGGATATGACATTAACGTATCTATGGCTTTTTGTACAATAGGGTTAGTCAAGTTTTCAGCTAATTTACTTCCAATACTAGTAGCTGTTAAATCTTGAGTTTGATGAGCCGCGTCAACTGGTACATTGGAAGAAGCAGTGTTTGTAGTTACAGTAGAGCTAACAGGCTGAGGATAAAGCATGCTTAAAATTCTTGACTTGAGCTCAGCTGTATTTTCACTGCATGCACCGGCTAGTGGTCAATGTATATCATTCATTCATTTATTTGTTTATAAAATAGGATATGAAGACCAATTGGATTAAAAGTAGTAGCGTGAACAATGACGTGATATATAATAATCCCACATTCACGCGATACATTTATTGTGAATCAATTAGAAAGGAAAAAAACCAGGAGAGAAAAAAGATATTAGTTATATTCTCAATAAAATATATGGGTGTGATAACAAGGATAGTATCAGAAGAATAAAAGAATTAGACGTTATTTAAAGAAACTCGTGAAGTCTAGCATACGAGAGCGAATGTATCCCTAAGCGTCAGTCAGTCAGTCTATCATAACACAAAAGGACCTGTGCATAAATAGATTCAGTCTTGTTCATAAACATAAAAAAGAGATGATAATTCGGGAACAGTCGAAAAAAAACAAATATTTGTAAGTTTAACGATTATCATTTCAAATTTTTAAATTCACTACAAGCATCTACTTTTAGAAGCACGAACTCAGGTTACAATCACTCCAAAGGAAAGTCCTATTCACCACGAAAGTATTTTTACGAAAGTGAAGGGATGAAAAATGGACATCCACGGTTCAAACTTAGTTGGTACATATAGAGGATTTACCTAGGGGAGTTGACAAACCATTGTTTAGAATCAATGGTGCGCATACGCTCCAAGATCGCGAGGAGATGAAAGACCCACAAACATATCTTTGATTCCCGGCTACCACGGGAGTGGGTATTCCGACATTTCTTCGCCGTCCTATGGATTAGTTCTGTCCTCTCTAGCCGGTACCGGTTGAGCCATCTGACGAGGTGGAGGCCCTCGAGAAAGTTCAGATCCTGAACCACCAAAAATCACCAGGTCCACATGACTTACCCCCGGCTCTTTCTAACAATGGTAGCAACCTTCCGGTCAGAGAACTGACTAGGTTGCTTGAGAAACAATGTATTCCATCATCTTGACGCGATTGTTGTTGTCATCTTTAGAAAGGGTCTATATCATCTATGCAACAACTATTGGGGGTAAACTCTACTTCCGATTACGTCCAAACTATTGACTGGTATATGTCGATCCATTAGGACTCTCTGGTTAGGGTCCGATAGATGATGTAACTCAGTGGCTTGAGACATTATCAGACATGGCTCAAAATAAAATCCAATGGCGATCTTGTTGTAAGGCTCTTTAACTATTAGAAGAGAGAACTTCCTTGACTGAAAGGATTCTTTCTGGTTCCATTTTTCTTAACTGAGCTCCTTTTTCTGTTATATACTGCTCTTGTTCACTTATGTATTTAGATTATACTTAGCCTCCGTCCTCCACCTCTTCGCAATCTTATTTTCTTTTTGTACGGGTATGTTTCAGTGAAATGGAGAATCCTGGTGGGCGGCCTATGCTCCTTCACGAGGGGTAACAGGCGTAACTAATGGCTATGTTTATTTTGACGCCCGTCTCCTCCAATTTTCAATTGTTTAAATAAAACAAATAATAATCATCTTGTCTGAATCACCGTAATGTAAATGTGATATGGCTATTGACATAGACATCATAGTGACTACAATGTCAAGATAATTTTTATAAAACTTGTCTAATGATTTAGACTTTCATTTGTTTTGTTGTGAATAGCTTTAAATATTTTGGTGGAGTTTTATTCCCTGAGCTGGATGGTTTGGTCGTGGAGCTTTCATCGTTCTTCTGAACGACATCATCAGCACAAACTTCAGTTAGAAGTGAAGTGTTCGAATTTCTCTATGTGTTTCACAGCTTGTTCTGTGCACCTCGGTGTTGATTGGTTCTTATTGACCTTAAATTTGTCATTGTTTACTTCTTTGTTTTGGTTGTGTCTCCCATTGGTTTGATTTTCGTTCCTATATTTGTGCATGATTTTTCTAATTGGTTAGTAAATTGGATTGATTTCAATATGCACAAATATAGGAACAAAAATCAAACCAATGGGAGACACAACCAAAACAAAGAAGTAAACAATGACAAATTTAAGGTCAATAAGAACCAATCAACATCGAGGTGCGCAGAACAAGCTGTGAAACACATATGGAGAAATTCGAACACTTCACTTCTAACTGAAGTTTGTGCTGATGATGTCGTTCAGAAGAACGATGAAAGCTCCACGACCAAACCATCCAGCTCAGAGAACAAAACTCCACCAAAATCATCCACCTGAGCTACAAATCTTCTTCACCATTTCAATAACTTTAAATATATATGAAAAGGGAAATAGTAGTTTGTAAATTACCAGATTTCCTATATAAGTTTACAATCAACAACCATTTCGGATCCCGTAAATTTACCATCAAAAATATAAATAAAATGCACACAAATAATCAACAATGGATTATCAAGGACTAGTAAGTCATTAAGTTAATGTGATATTAACGAAAACTGTACGAATAAACCTTAGAAAAAATTGCATTGCTGAAAATAAAACTCAGTTTCGTAAATAATAACAATTATTATCAGTTGAGAGTAGGATATTAAATCTGCCAGGAGCCCTTACAGATTTACTGTCGGTCTTAAGCCCGGGTGAGATGGGAGAATTAGGTGTAGGGTTACCAACCCCATATTGTAAAAATAATATTTACGAAGACAACGTCACCCAATAAAAAATCATTTGAACCATTTGGCCTCTGCCCTGACAGCTGAAAGATCTTCATACTGAAAAGTTATGACGCATCGTGGTGAAAGCCAAGATCCTTCAGAAGCCAAAACGCTACTATCTCTTCTGACAACCAGTGTAATAAATGTAGGTACATGGAATGACCGGACAATGTGGAAGACTGGTAGGCTAACTGATACAGCCACAACAATGAGAAGACATAAACTTGAACTGCTTGGAGTAAGTGGAACTTATTGGAAACAATCTTGGCAAAAGATAAACTTTAAGAGAGCTGTTATTGTATTCTGGTCACGTAGAAAATTCCACACACGCAAGGAGTTGCATTTATGCTGTCCAAAGAAGCACAGTGAATGTTATCTAGTGTTATGTACCAATCATTGATAACAGCGAAAAGCGATAAAGGTCAGTCTATTCTAGACAAATGTCCAGAAAAACACCTGACCATTTTGATTGAAACTGAAACTTAAGAAGCACTGGACAATTAGACAAGTATCACTACGGAGTTTAGTACACAGTTTTTTCGAGATGACAAGTTAGGCGAGTTCAATGAGGATATCAGCAATAAGTTCTAAGCCTTACAAGTTCACTAGGAGAAGAGGAAGTCGCCAAAAGGCAGGCTTCCACTCGAGAACAACTATATTTTCTCCATGAGTGTCTTCGCCAACATGTTCTACCAACAAGTGTAAGATATAGACCTCCAATCAACTGCTCGTTAGGATGGAGAACTGCCGAACAAAGTGGAAGAAAAATGGTACACCTAATGATAATGGATGCACACTACAGGATCTGCAAATACCAACACGTCATAGAAGACCAAAAGATAAAGCTACAAAGGATGCTCACATCAAAACATTTGGAAATCCTGACAACAGCCATCGAGATATCATGCAAACGACACAGAGAACAAAGAAGAAACACCTTAAAGAAAAAACTAATCAAGATCTCAAAACCACCCAGGGAAGAAAACACAAACAACTGCGTGATCAATCTGTCAAAACAACCACTAACAAATACGGAAGAACACCTGCTCCAAAAAGGATTAAACTACAATACAAGCGACGCTTCAAAGCTGCAGTTCTTCGCAGCACTAGAGTCATCACCCAAAACTTCCGGAATCAGTGAAGAAACACAACAGGAAATAAGGCAAACTATAGTACCGATAACTCAACAGGTGAAAGAAAACAACCAACTGACTCCACGAGAACAAAAGGCCTTGAAAGAATTCAGAAATAGAAAAGATATTATCATAATACCAGCGGACAAGGGACGCACCACAGTAATCATGGACAAAAAAGAATACATCAAGAAAGCCGAAGAACTACTCGGAGATAAGAGCACATACAAACTGATGGACACAAATCCCGTCAAAAAATTAGACAATCAAATCTCAAAGACTTTAAACAAGCTAATCAAAGCAGGAGAAATAACAAAACAAGACCAATGGAGAATGAAATCCAGTGGACCAGTACTCTCTCGATTCTACGGTAGACCCAAAATACACAAACCAAACATTCCACTACGTCCAATAGTAGCACTCCCCGGAACGCCAACATACAATTTGTCAAAAGAAATTTCACGAATACTGAGACATCTAGTAGATTCAGCCAAACACTCCATCAAATCCCCAACACAATTCCTGGACCAAATTAAGGATATTCAAATCAACAACGACGAACTCATGATATCCTTCGACGTAACAGCACTGTTCACCTCAACTGAACCACAGCTAGCAAAAGAAACTATATCCCTGCTACTCAAAAACGACACAAATCTCACCAAATACACGACGCTTCAAATTAAAAGTCTACTGGAACTCATCGATTTATGCCTAACAACATATTTTCAATTCAACAACAAAATCTACGAACAAACAAAAGGGACACCAATGGGATCACCAATATCAGGACTGATCGCAGAAGCAGTGATGCAAAGACTAGAAGCCACGATATTACCAGTGATCAAGCCCAAAATTTGGATTCGCTACGTAGACGACACCTTTGTCATCGTCAAAAAGGATGAACTGGAAAACACATACAAATTGATCAACAACGTCTTCAATGACATCAAGTTCACAATGGAACAGGAGTCAAACAACCAACTAGCATTTTTGGATATATTGATCACTAGAACTGATACAGGAAAACTGGAAACTCAAGTATATAGGAAACCAACCCATACAGATCAAATTCTCAACTACAACAGCAACAACCCAAGGGCTCACAAAATCAACTGCGTACACACATTGTTCAAGAGGGCGAGAACACACTGCAGCACACTGGCAGCACGAAAAAATGAGGAGAAATACCTGAAGGACATATTTCAAAAGAACGGCTACCCAATCAACTTCATCAAAAAGCACCAACGGCACACAGCATCAGAACCCAAATCAAGCACAAAAATCAGTAAAAGGATCACCCTACCGTACATACAAGGAATATCAGTCAGTCAGTAACAACGTAGAACTTCGTACGTACGTACATCAGTTCGAGTTGCCACACCACATTAGCACAGAGATGCACTTGTCGATTCAAATCCCGTAGTGGTAGATGTAATAAGAGTATAAGCAGTAATCGGGAAGATTAGGGTTTGGAGATGTTATTTAAAGAGTATAATCCAGTGAAATAAATTTGGAAAGAGGAAAAAAGGACATGAAGAATTCAGAAGATTAGAATTTGGGAGAACACAAAAAGTGGATGCACCTGCGCCATTGCAAACGATTTTGAGCCATGTCATTCAGGGTCTCTAACCATCGGTTGCTATCATCTCGCGGTCCCCAACCAGGTAGTCTACACCTACCAACATGACTCAGTCCACTTGTCAGTGACTTCATGGACTTGTGCCATGTTTTGGTTTGGCCGCCCCTAGCTTTCTTCCAACCTACTCCTATACCACTGAACATAGCACGTCGAGGCAGTCGGTCGTTGGGCATACGTAACACGTGTCCCAGCGACCTCAACTGATGAAGTTTCACTACGTCATCAATTGATTTGCCATCCTTACCTAGTACCCGTTTCCTAACAACTGCATTACTTACTCGATGGTCCCAGGATATACGAGCAATGTTTCGAAGACACCTATGATCAAATACTAGTAACCTACGGATATCCTCTACTCTTACCGGCCATGTTTCACTGCCATAAAGTAGGACGGAACGAACTGCTGCGCAGTAAACACGTCCTTTGGTTGATAGACGGATATCTCGCCTACGCCATAAATGACGCAAGTTGGCAAAAGCTAGTCGAGCCTTCTGTATCCGTGCTGAGATTTCGTCACACACCAGACCACAAGGGCTGATGAGACTTCCAAGATAAGTAAAGCGGTCGACACACTCAACTACTTCACTCCCTATCACTAGTTCGGGTGTCGATGTAACCCAATCCTGAAGCAACATTTTTCATTTCGAGGGAGAGAATCGCATCCCGAACATGCTTGCATTGTTGCTTAGAGTGGTCAGAAGACTCTGCATTTTGTCAGCGTCTTCACCAAATAAAACTATGTCATCTGCATATTCTAAGTCAACAAGTGAACCTCCTGGTAGAAGTTCAAGCCCTGGAAATTTAGATGAGGAGAGTGTTATCTCTAAAAGTACGTCAATGACAAAGTTGAACAAGAATGGGGAGAGTGGACAGCCCTGACGAACACCACTTGAGGTAATCAATTCTGATGACAGTTCGCCATAAGCTCTCACTCTACCAGTTGTGTTCGAGTAGAGAGCCTTTATAAGGTTAATGTACTTCTTTGGTACTCCTTTCAGTGACAAACACTGCCATAGAACCTCACGATCAATAGAGTCGAATGCCGCCTTAAGGTCGAGAAATACTACCATTGTGGGGCGTCTGAATGTGTGTCTGTGTTCTAGAACCTGACGTAGTGTGAATATCTGATCTATACAACCACGTCCAGGTCGAAAACCAGCCTGGTTTACTCTAGTCTGCTCTTCACGAGCTTTAGTTAGGCGTCGAAGTATTATTGAAGCTAATATTTTAGACACTATATTAGTCAAACTGATTCCTCTGTGATTGTCACAAGAGGACTTTTGTCCTTTCTTATAGACTGGCACAATCAGTGATTGAGACCAGTCAGATGGGATTACGTCCAGTTCCCAAATTCTACCTAAGACCTCGGTTAATCTCATTGCTAATACTGGACCACCATCCTTAAAAATCTCAGGAGTAAACCTGTCAGGGCCTGCTGCTCTCCCTCGTTTCAGATTTCCTATGGCTTTTTCAACTTCGTAAAGGGACGGAGGACCTACATTAACTTGCCATTCAGGTTGACTGGAGATCGTGGGAAACCGAAGTGTGGCTGAAGGCCAGTTGAACTGATCCCTAAAGTGTTCTGCCCATCGATCCAATCTCCTGGATTGAGAATGAATAATATGTCCATCTTTCTCTGAGATTGTTTCGCTAACGGTCGGGTTCCTAATTCCGGTTTCCTTAACGAGTCTGAACAATTGTCTGCTATTACCTATTGCCGCTGCCTTTTCCATCTCTCTTGCTTTCGCTACCCACCACTGTTCGCGATCATTGCGTAGACTTCTTGTCAGCTTGCGCTTAAGCTGACTCCGCTCTTCATTATGTTCAGAGCCAGGTGGAATGAGTTTCCGAGCATCTATCAGTGCGATAGATGCTGCTGAGATCCAGTGTTGCTCCCTAACCTTCTGGTTTACCTTACTAGCAGATATCACTGCTGTTTCCACAGCTTTTCGGATATCATTCCATGCTGCCTCGGGGTGGGCATCACATACATGGCTGCCTAACTGTTTTCCTAGTTGTTCCTGAAATATACTCTTAGCTTGACTATCATTAAGTAGGCCCTAAGAGGTTTCCTTGCAGCGTCTTTCCTACGTCCAGTAAGACGCAAGCAAATACGCGCTCGCACTAGAGCATGATCTGAATCTAGGCATGTGCTCCAGAATGAGCGACAGTCTTCTATCGAGCCCCTCCATCGGTGGCTGATAGCGATGTGATCTATTTGGGTCCAACGTTGGGACGAATTAGGGGGTCGCCATGTTAAAAGATGTTTTTCCTTATGCTTAAAGTTAGTATTTGCAAGGAACAGGCGGTTATCTGAGCATAGGTGCAACAGACGGTCGCCATTATCTGTTCTTTGAGCCACGACACCATAAGATCCACCTAGGTGTCTTTCCCTATCGCTTAGTTTACCTACTTGAGCATTAAAGTCACCGGCCACTATTACTACATCCGAGCGCTTAGCTTTTCGGAGAAGGTCCGAAAGCTTTCTGTAAAACTCATCTTTTACATCATCTGAGCTGCAGTCAGTGGGAGAATAGGCAGAGACGACGAAGAGGCAATGACGAGTGTCCCTATCTTTCCGGATTCTTACTGTTCCGTTCAGTCGGACAGCGCACAAACGACTGTCTACTGGGATCCAGTCTAAGAGAGCTAGTTCTGCCCTAGGACTCAATGCTATACCTACGCCGGCGAGGTCACGGGAAGCGGAATCAGGGCTTCCAGATACACGAAGCGTAAATCGAGTCGGTTCTTTATTTTGGTATGGTGAGGTCAAATGAATGACGCTACTCGGATCCTGTATGCGCGTTTCGGAGACGCAGCACACATCGATGGCGCGGGATTCTAAAGTTTTAGCTAATGAAGCCTGCTGTCCTATTTGGCAAAGTGTTCGTACGTTAAAAGCTCCTACGTGTAGTTTAGAGCGTGGTTTCAGGAGACCAGGAATAACGTTCCACGTACTCGAATCGTTTGCCCTAGCGGTGCGAGGTGATAAAGAGACGTGAGGAGGGTTAGTCATGGAGATAAGAGAGGTATTAGGAGGTTTAGGAAGGATTTGAACGTGACCAACTTGGTCTCTTGTGCTGTTACGGGTATGAGGGCTGATGTCACTTCCCGGCTGCCCACACCGTGGAAGGGTATTTCTTGAGGAACCTGAAAAGGAAATTGGATTAGTGTTGGTCTTGACGACCTGGGAGCGTGACCGCAGAGCCCAAGGGACAACTGCTTGAGGCCGGTCGCGCACGGCCTTTTTGTGGAAGGTTTTTGACGTGTTAGCTCCGTTCTTCAAAGGGCCTTACCGCCGGAGACGGAAATCCGTGAGGTAAGGTGAGGTGTGCATTTTTAGGGTCGACCTTTTCTAACCCCATCCCTCCTTGTGGGAAGGCAGCATCGCTGTCATGCTGGTTGTCCGAGGGAAACACCTTACTGCTGTCACACCTCTCTACAGTCAGCAGTACGACTTCGCCCTCAGACCTTGAGTTGCTGCTTTTAGTCTTACCGTTCGCCAATCGACCTGCCTGGCATGGTAGAACCTGCAGGAAAATGTAGTAATCTTAGACAGAGGAAACTCCAAAAACACCAGAGAATTTTTAGAAGCTTGGCACTCAGGTAAATCAGCAATCAACAAACATATTGAAATCAATCCAATTTATCAACCAATCAGGAAAATCATGCATAAATATAGGAACAAAAATCAAACCAATGGGAGACACAACCAAAACAAAGAAGTAAACAATGACAAATTTAAGGTCAATAAGAACCAATCAACACCGAGGTGCACAGAACAAGCTGTGAAACACATAGAGAAATTCGAACACTTCACTTCTAACTGAAGTTTGTGCTGATGATGTCGTTCAGAAGAACGATGAAAGCTCCACGACCAAATCATCCAGCTCAGAGAACAAAACATCACCAAAAAGAGGAAGTCACACCAGAAAACAACTGGAAATGGACTAGGGAAGAAAAAACTTCAACATACCAGGTAGTGAGCCCAAGAAATGCCAGAAGAGCAAATTTCTGTGTACAGTCTGAGCATGATTAAAAAACAAGACAGTAGTCAACAATGATCGAACAACAGCAGAGAAATCCAAGGCACAGTTTGAATATACAGAAGCAAACAAACGAGTGAAGAGCATTTCTACAATTGGAATATGGAACTCACAACAATTGCCACCCAACACCAAAATCAAAATTTTCAACATTGGCATTCAAACAACTTTGATGTATACAGCTGGAAATTGGAGAACTACTATGACCATCATTAAAAAGCTACAGGTATTTATAGACAGTTTTGTATGCAAAATACTCAGCATCCGCTGACTGGATACCATCAGCAATTTGTGGAAACCATCAAACTGCTGGTTCCTACAAATTGTGTCCTATCCAACTCCAGTATCATCTAACTGCATCGTGATGCAGAAAAAGTGGAAGGAGAATGAAGAACATATAGAGCCGGGAATTGGAAGCAAACATCGAGACAATTAAGATCACCTGGTAAAAGGTGGATAGGGGAGCTTAGGATAGTTATTTGAGGACAACTGGTCGATGGCTTTGCACATGAAGTAATAGATAGCGTTTTGTCTTGACTTTATCAACATATAATAATTTAGGCAGTAGGTAATTAAATGTACCACTTAAGTATAAGGAGCGCTGGTTTACAATAAATACCATGGATAGATTAGTAGACAATTAACTTTTTATTCACAATATTACTATAGTCACTGTGTAAATGGTCCAATGAAGTATGTAACTAGAAAAACACAGGATCTAGGAATACGGAGGTATCTGAATGTAATGTAAATCACAGTAAATAAATCAACCCCATTTATGTAAGCTTCAAATATTGCTGGTGAATTCATAAAAAACAAAAACCTCAGAAACTGATGTAAAATGTATAAATAAACAAATATTACTCTTGAAGCAATTACAAAACGTACCATCACTGTTGGCATTTCGTCGGCCTTCCAGACGACGCTTTCGCTCCTGGACAAAAACAGTGATCTCGTCTAACTCTCCAACACTTAGAACACGAGAATCAGCCAGCATATGAAGTAGGGAAGCTAAATGGCGACTAGGTGGCAAAAAATTGGCATCGTCTGGAGGAGCAGTATCAACCTCTTCTTTACTGCTTGTCGTATATGCAGAGTATTCTCGATGAAGTAGGATTAATGCATCATCCAAAGGCATATTACGATGCTCTGCTCCAGAAAGAAATGGAAAAGCACCAGGACTAATGAAAACAGATGAGTAATAATCACAGATTTTTCTCGGCAATATTATTGTTCTAAGAATAAGTATTATTGGGATGACATACCATTTATTATCAAATAACGTATCGAAGTAGGATATGCCATAATTAAGCTTATTTATGCATTTAAAAGAAACAGTATACTATCATTTAAGAGCTCTGGACGATGAATCAAAAGTGAACTCTACCGGTGTATTTCATCTCACAAATAGTTAAAATGAAAGTAACTTTACTATTCCTACAAGTCAATAACTGACTGAGCATATGCATAAATCTTATTTAATTAGTTTAATTATATTCAGCTTCATTGAAAACCAAAATGACTTTTTGGAGAACTCGCAATGTTGAAAATTGACTAACCTTTTAAAATCGGAAATATTGATGATCAAAGCTACACAACTCAGACTGAATAAGTAGTAGAGTGAGTTCAACAAATGATTTACTTGAAATAACACAACATTAATATGTCCGGTACGTTGAACTTTTGACACAATAGCTTTCTGGACGACCTATAGACTTACAATCTTCGACACTTGAGCCTCAAACAAAACTAGAAGGTGGAAGTATGAAAGAAGCTTTACTTTCAAGGTTAACTTAATTACAAAAAACAAGGGTAATTAATAACCGGTAATTTCCAGAGGTTTCTGAGAGGTATAATAATATTAGTAAAAGTCCAAATGTTTGTCCAATCAGATTAGGGAGGAATGTAATGAGCTGGTTTACGGGACTTTCCAAAAATGTTAACTAGCTAAAAGTAATACTGAGCATTTCACAACGCAGAAATTTTCCCGGAAAAGCATAGATACCTAACATACGATAATAGGATAAAAATCCCAATGCAGCAATTATGGTGATTATAAGACGTGGTCACGTCATTCAATACTCTGATGTTCCTTTGAACCTCTAATTCATGAATAGTAAGAAAACTATGCATACTTATCCTAACTAGATACTTAGTAAATTACCTTGTTGGGTTGGAGCGTAAAGAATGCGTAATGTGCACGAGTTGTGTGCCCAATTAGTCATAGTGCAAATGATCGCGAACGGAACACCATCCTTGGTAAGGTCAGCTAGGCATGGGCTAAGATGATCTACAGACAGTAGAACTACTATATGAGTAACAGAAGGACTTCCTGGTGTAGTTAGACTTTTAGTGACACGTTGTTCTATAATTTCAGCATATGGAACAAGATCATGCTGGACGGTTATTATTGCCACCATATAAGGTGGTGATTTAACGATAGGTTTTTCAGTTGATTTATCGGCAGGACCAAGAAGACTGGATCCATTTCTAAAAGTAAATTAACAAATAAAATCCCTAAATAAAATTCATTTCCAAAAATAAAAACTGAGACATCATTCAATACGGACTAATGATTTTAAGTCTAATTTGTTCATTTCATAAAGAAATGATTACTTGAGAGAAAATTCCAAAATATTCGAAAACCATGAACTAAGTTTCTCCATCTGGATGTTTGTTCTTAATATTGATAAATGAAACGCGAAATCTTTACTACGACATGTGGTATCAGCATTGCCTGTCGATACTCTGGGAACAATGTTGGATCTGCTAGGATAGCAAACAACTGCAAGGATTAATATGAGTTACCCGAACTGTTTTTATAATGAATACGAATATTCATGTCTACTTATTATTTATGGTGGTCAACGTTGTGTAACTAAGTGGGTATTAGACGTGCGAAATTATAGAATAAGCAATGTTGGGCATGAACAAGTTAGGGAGGCAAATCAGTCGATGAGGTTGTGAACACCTACTAATTCGAATATCATGATGTTGCACGTACTAACCAACTGTCAGTGGAAGATGCAGTCTTCGGTATGACAAGATGAACTTATGGTTATCAGACATAAACCCGAAGTCACTGACTAATAATTGGAGTGACGTACACTTCCTGATTGTTTTGAGGACGATTATTGGAGATGAAGTTGTGGTGGAGCACAAATATTCACGTCACACTTTTTTATGAATTCTGAAAATATTTATTTGGAGTTTTCATTTCTCGTTTTTATTTTCTTTTTAGCTCTTATTAATTCCGTTGCTACTATCACTTCTAGCGTATGATCTACATTGAGTATCCTGTGGCCAAAAGTTTTTTTCTGTTGGTTCTAATGTTGTTTTTTTTATCTAAATGATTGTCGATAATAAAGCCAAGATACCAAGTTCTAACACCACTTTCCCAACACAACTTTTCCACTGAACTCGTGGAATAAGATAGATGAGGTGATAAAACAACAAAGTAGATAAATTAAGATCAATTAAACACATCTCACAGCTTTTTGTCTCGTTCAGCAACTTCTGATAGCCAGTTTAGTGGATGAACTGTACGCCGATCAGTACGCGTTATGCTGTAATTGGAATAATCAGAACACCAACACAGTTGGCAAATAAAAATATAAGTTTAACCCCAGCAAATATTACAAACTATAAAACTCACTACCTTAATACTGAAGAAAGTAACTTAAGCATTTATTGTTCACCTTTAACCAATCTCTAGATACGAGATTATTCATTACTTTTCTTTCCCTAGTTTCGTTTTTTAAGCTTTTTATATTTAGCTTTTAACAACTGTAAGTAGTATTATCTTTATTTATTTTCGTTTGCCCCTATCAACATTTTTTGAGTGACAAGGAACATGGTTATTTGAACCAGGTCTTAAATTCATCCGCCTAGTATCTAAACAACTTCAGGAAGATTGTACAGATAGAAGCTTAGCAGCCTGAGGCTAGGTTTAGTCTCTTCGGTGTACTTACTCCAGTTAAAAACAGTTGGGTATTCTTCAACGGCCCAAGCTAATTCTTAAAAATATATATTTATTCTATATTTCCGCTACGAAGTGAATCACTGAAATATTGATGCAATTGGTATTGTTGTTGCTATTTGACGGTCAGACTTAGCAGCTGTGTATCACAACAAACTATACACGGTACTGGATACAGAAGCACACGTGGATATCAGTATAGTGATACAAGGCATGTAGCCAATCCTCAAACTTTTCCTATATCTTTAAGGGAAGAACTTTGCAGCTCTACGAGACCATAATGTGAATAACACAACACATTACCTCAACGTGTTGAACTATGGTTCAATACAGACCGGTTACGTGACATTATTTTGCATTTTTCAAACCCCAAACACATGAAAACCATTCAATTTATTTGCTAGAACTTACCAGTATTTGGTGACCAACTCTTGAAAAGTTACGTTTAGTAGATTATTCATGGCAAAGATGGACAGGATTGGCAGAGGTTAATGCCGCTGATGATTAAAACAGGATTGTATCAATTCTGATCACAATTTCTTATGAATTCTGAGGACACCATAATAGTTGTTCATTCTTTACGTCTTAAAGCCTTTCTACTGACAGAATCAAATACTACTTTGAAGTCACAGAACAGCCAAGTGTGGGAGTCAGTTTTATGTGTTGTGCATCTGAGATCTAACTTCTATTTAGAATACAGTTATCTCGAAATTTACTGATATATGAACTGCCCTTAGAAATAGCTTCACTAACTTCCTCAAACGGCTCTCGATGGTGCCCTGTTTACCTATCTCATCCTCTTTGAAATCATGGGGCATCCTAATCGATTTCTCTCCCAGCTGTTATTGTTTTTCCGTCTGAATTACAGGTGAGAATATATTTATTTACTGGCCAATTGAAACGAAGTTGTTGACGTCCACGAACAGTTTCCGACATTTCAAGTAATCCAAATGTTCATATGACAAGACAACAATGAGAAATACTCTTCAATCTAGGGAGAACTACCACGTTGCAAAACGGCATACTTAATACATATTTCTATTATTGAAACAATAAAAAATTTCCAGAAGAATCTTCGATAGAACTCATTGTTAGTATGATAGCAAAAATATGACGATCCTTGAGAACGTAGCATAAGCAACATACTATCACTACTTGCATACGGAAATGTGGAGATAGTAGAACTCATCAGAAAAACTTACATTGGTGACCTTGAGTGTCGACGCGGTGAGACCTCACGTGAACGTTTGTTGTCCGGAGACTTAGTTCGACCTCGAAAGCGGTCACGGCGCAAGGATCCACGACTTTTATCCCGGTCACGATCACGACCAGAGATGGATCCGAAACTCCGTTGCAAATTTGTGGAAAACCGATCAATTGGTGGGCCTGCACGACGCAGCGCCTTTAAATCACCGGCTTCCACATGCTTTAGAGAGACTTTAGTGCCAAAGAGTGAAGCCCCATTTTCGCACTGAACAGCACCAGCGGCCTCGATATCCGAGTCGAACTGAACAAGCAAGCAGCGTGGATATATTACGATTTCTAGAACAAAAATGTACAGCCGGATGTGTGACAGGAACACGAAAAGGAGTATTATGATAAAAAAAGCTCATAGAGCATCCTTATGACAGGAAGAAAAAGTACGGTTAAGAAGGGAAAACCCGCCAGCAGGAGCAGCTACTAAACTACTTAGAATAAACAGGTCCTTATGGAGTAACCGGAGTCGTGACAGAATCTACGTGTCAAATAATACGAGACAACTCTCGGTTACTTATGGTAGCTCACTAAAATTGTCTAAAACTGGCAGATTATAAAGATATTGTGAAACTGTGACCATGGTCGTAATAATGACGCCAGAACCAGAAGTAACTAGTAATTGTATTTTACCCCAGTAATTATTTCAAGTGCGATGTTGCATTGGTTAACACTGATGGAACTGTATGATTTAGGTCCTTAACATAAACATTCAATCACTAACACAAACATTTCTGTTTACGACCGTTTTATGATATTAGTATAAATAACCCGGTATAAGAGGTATGGTGATGAAGTTTAATCGATTGAGGTGGCTTTGTTACGTTAAGCCCCCAAACGCCGTGGTACGGCCGAGAGTAGGGAGAGTCCGCTCTCCCTTTCGAAATGCTCTCACATGGCCACGCTTATACAGCCGCTGCCAGGGAAGTCCTACTCATTGCCTTCTCGTGGCGGGGGTGTTGTTTACGAAATTGAGAGGACGAAAAGCGAATGTCCGGCGCTTTAACCGGATTCCAAATCAATGGTGCACATGGGCTCTAGTATCCTGTGGGGACAAATGGCGTATGAACCAATTGTTGGTCACCGGCTTCCATGGGACTGCATCTCCTGACGATGCTCCACTGCCTTGTGGGTCAGACGTTTAGGTCGGAGGCTCGGGGTGTGGCCCCCTAAGAAAACCACCTGCTTAGGTTTGGGAACCCGTGCAGTATCACAGCCCTCACACATATGGAATGAGATTTGTGTGGCGCATATGTATTTGGTGCCTCTTTGTACCAATATCTATGTGTTGAAATAAATTTAAAAAAATAAATGAATGTTACGTTAACCCATCCACCAACCGCTTCATGAAGTAATGCTGATCGTCATAATAAGATAGAGAGAAAGAGGAGCCTGGACTAAGATTTAGAATAAGTCCAGGGAACTACAGAACTTAGTGTGAACAACCGCATGTGTAGATTGATTGGAGGCCACACGACAACCACAAATGGTTGGAGGTGTGGAGTAATATATCTTAGAACCAGTCAAATATATGCATCTTAATCGCTTGTTGAAAGTCAAGCAAATAAGCTTCGAACCATCCAGTGTCAAAAGCATTGTAAAATAGTACATACGCTCTGCTCGTTGTGTCGAAACTTATTTGAGCTATAAAATATGAAGTACATACGTGTGAAAATGAATGTAAGCTGATGTCCCAGAATCCGTCCAAGAAATACACGACGTTTCGCCCATAGAACACTGTCAATTAAATCTATCTAACCAACAAAGTGTGTTTCAATTCCATAAGGCTATCTTCGTTACATGGGAATTAATGCTCTCACAAACATATTTAACAATCACTGTATCTGAAATTATGAAGAATGACAGCTTCCAGACTACCTATCTAGCACTTGTTTAAGTGTTAGCGACTGGTCGAACAACTACATACCGCAAGAAACATATATATAGATCACTAGACTGAATACCAAATCGCTCAGATCGGATTCACATACCTGAAATGCATCCATACTTTTTTAACCAATCACGTATGTCATTGTGAGAAATAGCTCGTTTGGGCAAATCTTCGATCAATACTTTGCCAACCAGACAACTACTCCCGGTGGGACTTTTGTCCCGCGTCCCCATAAGGCCCCAAATTAGATTAGGCGGGTTACGGATTAGGCACTGAGGTTATCCACCCTTTTTCAATAGCCAATAGAAATGCCGTCTCCGGAATTTCTAATATTTCAAGTGCAAATGGTGGATAGATGCTAGGTATGACTGTATGAATTTCACTGTAAGCTACACTTCAAATCCTGACCCTCACTTTATATGTTTTTCATCCTCCCTTCTCTTGTAGTAGAATATCACATATTGCCATGTAATCTGTTATCCCAGTGTTTAGAAATGGTATTTGAGGGAAATATTCTTAATATGGCACACAACCTATCCCATACAATTGCGGTATCTGCCAGTATTTCGCGTCATATCTTCGACTATGTAGCAACACTTGTTCTATGTCGAATCAGTTAGAAATAAACTGAATAGGTTTTCCAGTGAAATTTAGCTACTTCCCTTGTTGTTAAAGTCCTTAGAAGGTTTGAAAGATGTTTATAGTCTACTAAATCTATTGCAAGCATAGTGAACGCAAAAACGCCACAGATATTCAGGGTTTGATAACGCTTTTGTCTCTAACACCGTTATAATCAAAGGGTTTCAACAATGTAGGGCCAGCAAAATGTCACTAAACCCTAGCCAAATCATCCGGCAGTTGGGTCATTGAATATCGAGCAAATCACCGATCCTCGTCAAGGTCAGTGACAACCAACGCGCACCAGTTAATCGTATGCCATGGAATGGCCCATGCGGCAGTGGTCTTACTTTCGCTTGTATCTACCTTAACTAATATATTTCTGTAATAACGTCCTCTGTGTTGTACAGTCTTCAAAGCATCTATGGTACCTTGACACGTCAATGGGGTAGTCCACGTAAGGTCCTTACCACGAGGTGTGACTTCAACGTTAGCTAGTTTGTCACACCATTGACGTCTAACTCTAGTAGGCCTCCAATCATTTTGACATAGATCATCTACGTTGGTGATCTACAACCCAGTCAAATCAGAAGCAGGCAATAAAGGAACACAAAGATATATTTTGAAAATTGTCGGTATGTTGAGGAGCGTTTGATCTAAATGGGCCAGTAGACATAAGGGATGTAGCAGGTGAAACAGGATTCGTACTGTGTCCTAATGAATGAAATTGGAATACTGTAACCGCCAAGCTGACATTTTGGTTGGCTCGCTTTACGTCAGCACAGTAAAAGGAAACCCATGGATTGAAACTAATAACAATAAAAATGCCGGGTGAATGACAGATTCTGAGGAAACCTGTTACGAGAGAACTGGAGACATTTTTCTGATTAAAACCTTTATATTGTTTATTAATAATTTCACTGTTTTTTGGATGTATTTGTTTTACTCAACTTCTGAACTTCCTTGTTTATATCACTATTTTCGGACATTTTGGTTTCTTTTGTCTTTGGTTTGGCATTTTGGAGTTTTTGCTCCGGGAACCTACAAAAATGAAGGGCATTTGGGTCGACTCTTTGTAAACTGAGAACAAACTTTGGTACCTAAATTGGAGTGTGGTTCTATTGTTAACTTGGGTTCGTCATTTGCAAATAGATCGATACACCGTACTTCAGTAAAGGGAGCGAGCGAAAAGTTGGATGTAACAAACCAATAAAATCATGAGTGGATATCACACTTATTTCTCTTTACATGATTAGTTGATCTCAACCTTTAAATATTTATCTACATTTTATATATGCACGTTATTGTGAAGAATTAAGGTGTTGTTTAAGTTATACCTTACTATACAACTTGGCGGTCCTCAGAATCAGTGAAGCACATTAAACCTCTGCTGGACAGAAGACGTTAGATTCGGAAGAGATGCTACTGTACTCTGGTCATGAAGAAGAAAGTGCTCCGCAAATGCAGCGATTTGCTCTGATACTGTACGTGAAGCACTTATAGGATGGGAATCTCATGGATTCAGGATCATCAAAGCATACTTCAAAACAAAGAAGGAATGAATCACAATGTATGTTATCCAGTGTTGCGTACCCACCAATAATAGCAACGACGGTGAGAGAGAGACTACAATCGATCATAGTGAAGTGCCCAAGAAAGGACCTGACCATCCTGATGGAAGACCTTAACACCAAAGTCTGAGTGGACAACACCGAGCATAGAGATATGATGAAACGTCATGGATTGGAAGAGAGACGAAGAAGGTAAGAGATTTGAATATCTATATTCATTCAACAAAACGGTTATAGGCAACACCTCACCTCCACAAAAGTATACACAGAGCAACATGGGTTTTACCTGACCATGTTTCAGAGAATCCGATAAATCAAATTTGCGTGAATAAAGTTTTCGGATGATCCATGTGAGACGGAATAACAAAGAAAGAAGCTGAAATAGCTTCAGCTCACCACCCTGTGGTCTTCAAGATGAGACTAGAGCTCATAAAGCATTTGACAACTGGAGGAACGGCATCACAAGATTTCATTGCAGCTTTCCATAGAGATTCTGACAAACCCGACAAATTTGAGATAGCTCTCAACAAAAGGTATCAAGCCTTGCAAAACCTATCATTTAAACCATGGATAGGATTCAGGAATGTAACAACACGAAAACAGAAATATACAACAGTCGAACAAGAGCAGAGGAAGTTAGGGCTCAGGTCAAATACACAAAAGCTAACAAACGCGTGAAGAGGAGCACATGAGGCAACAGGCAGAAGTACGTGGGAGACCAAGCGATAACACAGGAAAAAGCTGCGACAGAAGGAAATACGTGACAACTGTATGATACAGCAAAGAAACTAGCAGGAAAACATAGTAAACTAGAGCGAGGAGTCAAAACACAAAGAGCGCAATCCATTCACTGGAATCTAGAACAGCGGGATGAGAGGTTGTTAAATTTTGGGCAGTTCCTGAATAGAACAACCCCACAGAACACACCGAACGTCAAAGAAGAGCCCACAAACATCCTGTAAGATGTCGGTCCACCAATAACAGGAGAAATCAGCATGATCCTTGGACACATCAAGTGTGGGAGGACAAGAGGACATCGTCATAGTGATTCTCTTCAGAGAGTTTCAGGAAGATGGACAAATGCCGACAGACTGTGAAGAAGTATGCCTCATTTAGATACCAAAGAAAAGACATGTGAGCGAATGTGAGAACTACAGAGGTACAATAAAACGTTTTAAACAGATCTTTGCTGAATCCTTGACTACGAGAATGCGTTTGACAATATGGATAAAAGAACCTCGTCGAACTGTTTTCGACACTGTGGTGTCACTCTTATACGGAATTTTAATAGCAAACTGCACTGTAAAGTCCTGCATAAAGGACAGCTGACATGCATTTCAAGTATGGACCAGCATCAAACAAGAAGGCTTACTCTCATCTTGTGGTTGACTGCACTACGAAGACATCTACATCTTCAAATGGTTGGTTCACATGGTTGTGGACGGAATAGAAGAAGCTTCTGCTTAACGGGCTTCCGTGTCTAGTAGCAGTGGATAACCAATATCTCCAAGCAGGAGCCCAAGTATATTTGTAGAACTATAGTCTACTATGATATTAGTACTGAGTTAATAATAGACCTAATCGCAAAATCGTAGATTTGTCACGGTATAACTGCCTAATCTTCAGATCTTAAGTGGAAGTCACACCATCGACTACACCAACTCACTGTATCGTATCAATTACCAATACATGATGTAAAACAAGGTTAAGCTAGAGAAGGAACAATATATTTAATATGAATAGAAGATATAAGAGAACATTCAGATGGACCACGCCTGCATGGCCGAGCCATGCCATCCGATCAACTCCAATTCATTCAATACATTCTTCCCGCCTTCTCCATCGTTAGGTATTTCTCCACGTTAAATATTGAATATCTGTTTTCCGAGTTGTCTCGTGTTCAGCTTTGAGGATTGTGTGGTTATGGTCCAATGCCACTACATATTGACGACAATCGAGGAAAAAAGAAATTGGTAAATTATAATAGGATGTTATCCTCAGACCTTATGAATAGGTCAAGTTTCCACTTAAAGGACTCCTGGGAAGTCGCTTGGATTAGTTCAGTCGACAGCGAATTCCAGCATTTGTTGTAACTCCGATTTCTGGGTGTTACCCCTTAGGTATGTGTTGGAACTAAGCTAAATTAGGTTTTTAAGGGGATATCCAGAAGTGTTAAGGATAATGTAAGCCATTATAAAGTCCCCTCTAAGACGCCTATAATCTAATGGGTAAAGGTTGAGTGAATGGAGCCGCTCTTCATAAGGTTTGAATTTGAGTCCACGAACTGATTTCGTGTCTCGTCGTCGGATACGCTCCAAAGTGTCCTTATATTTTTGGAGTGAGGGAGGAAATACTATTTTTCCGTACTCTAAATGTGGACAAATAAAGCTGTTGAGGATTATGTGGAAAGTTCTTCAGTCAAACTGGCCAAAAATGCGCATCAATGTTATCAATGCAAGGTTTGCTCGAAAGGCACTTCTGTCACAGTTAGTGTAGGACTTTAAATCCTAGGGTATTAGGACTACTAAAATTTGTTCGACTCGTGATACCACTTGAAAGGGGTTTTTTAAGTTGTAACTGTAGTCTGCAACATGTCGCAGATGAACTACTTTACACTTTGAGGTGTTAAAGGTAAGTCCGTTATCGTCTGCCCAACTTTGAAGTCGAGTCAGATTCTCCTGAAGTGTCAGTATATCCTCTTAGTGGCGTATCTCTCTCCAAAGTTTCACGTCATCAGTAAAAAGTAATAAGTCCGACGACACCTGTTGTGGAAGATCATTTATAAAAATCAAGAAGAGAAGAGGTCCTAGTACTGAGCCCTTGAGGACCCCACTAGGACATTCCATAGCCTGAGATAAAGTGAAGTTGACCCTGACCTTAAAGTGTCGATTTTCCAGATATGAAAAGAGCCGATCAATTAGAGGTGGTCAGATAGCCAATCGTTTGAGCTTATTGATAAGACATATATGGTTGACCCTATCAGGTGCTCTTGAGAAATCAAGGTAAATGATATCGGCCTTCCCCTTGCGATCAAGGATGCCTGTCCGTTGCAATAAAACTACAACC